CGGCGGCCTGGGCGCGTCGAAGCCGGCCCAGGAAGCTGGGGCGCCTCGGCGGTGGGAAGGGCCTGCCCTGGTAGCCGTCGTCGGCGCTCACGTAGTCGTCCTCGAGCTGCGCGCCCAGCTGCGCGTGCGGTCGCGGGTTGTCGTCCGTGGCTCTGTCGACTGCGGGAACTCGTTGAGGTAGAAGTGGCTCTGCACGTAGGCGCTGACACGCCTGTCTGGCAGGGACAGCTTCAGGGGCTCGCCTTCCTCGATGTAGTCCAGCGCCTCCGCGAAGCGAGGGCGCACGCGGAAGCCCCGCTCTTCCATGCTTTGCTTAGTACGGCGCGGCGACTTGCTGGGCGGCTCGGAGGACCTGCCGCCGCTCCGCCCCGGCCCAGCGGAGCTGCGGCGCCCTGCGGTTGACTGCCTCGGCCATCCTGCCCATGGCGTCGGCGTACTCCTCGCCCTGCCGCTTCAGCTGGCGGTTCTGGAGCCACTCGTTGAACGCCTTGGCGTCCATGAGCTCCTCGTACCTCTTGCGCATCAGCGCGTTGAGGTTGTAGGTGGGGTACTTCTTCCAGCACTGCCGCAGCATCTGCTGCTCGTTCCGCGGCGATGCTCATCATGGTTCTTTGTCTTATGTCAGAACTCCATGGTGTTTCGCGTTAGCAGCTCCTCGACGCGGTCCGCCCGCGAGACCTGCCTCATGGCCCTCATCATGGCCGGGGTCGGCTCGGGCTCTGGCGCCTGCTCTGGTTCCACTACAGGGCGGGAACAGGAGCGCGTTCGGGGGCAAGGTCGACGGTGGGTGGGGGTGGATTGGGCTTGTTCTTGCTGCCCGGGTTTTTTTTTCTTTGCCGCGCTTCTTTGCCTCCGGTGCGGCGGCGGGCTCGGCAGTCGGCGGGACTTCTTCTTTGGCGGCAGCAGGCTCCGCAGCCACTTCATCAGCCGGCTGCCCAGGCTGCGCTTCCGCTTCGGGAGCAGGCTTCGTCCATGGCGTTTTTCCTTCAGACATTTTTCCAATGTGTGGTCCGACCGAGCAGCTCACCC